GTTGGAGGCCAAATATTTGCCGTAGTAGTGGAGAAGACTGAGGCACACAAAGATCAAGAGGAGCAACAACAGGGAGATGTGCACGAGCTTCTCCAGGAATTTGAGGGAGTACTGGGCGAACCTAAGGGGCTACCCCCACACCGGGAGTTTGATCATCGCATACCACTGATCAATGAGCAACATGCCATACACGTTCATCCTTATAGGTATGCTCACTTTCAGAAAACCGAGATCGAACGGCAAGTGGCCGAGATGCTTGAATCAGGACTAATACAGCATAGCAAGAGCCTGTTTTCTTCTCCAGTCCTGTTAGTTAAAAAGAAAGACGACACGTGGAGGTTCTGTACTGACTACCGAGCTCTGAACGCTACGACCATCAAGGAACGATTTCTTATCCCGAGCGTTGATGACATGCTCGATGAGTTAGCCGGGTCACGCTATTTCTCTAAGCTCGATCTGAGAGCTGGTTACCATCAGATTCGACTCCACAAAGTCGACATTCCAAAGACAGCATTTCGTACACACCAGGGGCACTATGAGTATCTTGTTATGCCATTCGGATTATGCAATGCCCCATTCACTTTCCAGTTCGCCATGAATTCTATCTTCAAGGAGTATCTGCGTAAGTTCGTTCTGGTATTCTTTGATGATATCCTGATCTATTCGAAGTCATGGGGCGAACATCTTGGGCATTTGAGAGTAGTGCTCGAAATTCTGGAGGCCAACTCATTCCACATAAAGCCATCCAAATGTTCTTTTGGGCAGATGATGGTTGAGTATTTGGGGCACTTCATATCACACGAGGGCGTGAAGGTCGATCCACGAAAGATTGAGGCTATGGTCGATTGGCCTAAGCCAACAAGTCTCACGCAGTTGAGAGGATTCCTAGGACTCACGGGCTACAACCGAAAGTTCGTGAAGGATTAGGGAACCATCGCCAAGACATTGACAGAGATGACTAAGACAGGCGGGTTCACATGGACCGAAGCTAGCGAGGAGGCGTTTGGGAAACTGAAAGAAGCCATGACTACAACGCCAGTACTCGCAATGCCCAGGTTTGATGTCTTGTTCGAGGTACACACCGATGTGAATGACATTGGAATTGGAGCTGTGCTAGTGCAAGAGGGACGACCCCTAGCCTATCTCAGCAAGGCACTAGGTACTACCCAGTTGGGTCTATCAGTGTACGTGAAGGAGATGCTAGCAGTTGTCGAGGATGTAAGGTGCTGGAGGCCTTATCTATTAGGCTGACGTTTTCAGATTGTTACCGACGAACAACCGCTTAAGAATCTATTGGAGCAAAGGATTGTGACCCCTGAGTAGCAGAAGTTCGTTTCTAAACTTATGGGGTTTGACTTAGAGATAATCTATCGATCGGGTCGACAGAATGCAGTAGCCGACGCACTATCCCGACGAACAGATGTAGCCGAGTTGAGTGCTATCACTAGGCCTACTTGGACCATTTGGGAAGAGATCAGGAAGGCGCAAGTAGAGGACACCCATTGCCAGGAGCTGCGCCAATCGATAGAAGCAGGTAAGACAACTGCTATCGACTACGAGTTGCATAATGGTCTACTTCTACACCGAGGGCGAGTCTATGTTCCCGACAGTGGGCAGGTACGCGAGCAGATCATGAAGCACTTCCATGACTCTAAGGTTGGAGGCCACTCGGGTATCTATCGCACGTGGATGAGAATAGCCAACACTTTCTTCTGGCCCGGACAACAGAGTACCGTCTGAGACTACATAGCACGATGCGATGATTGCCAGCGCACTAAGTCTGACTCACGACGACCGAGTGGGCTATTGCAACCGCTACCAGTACCCGAGGCAATCTGGAAGGACATTACTATGGATTTCATCGAGGGGCTACTGAATTCTAATGGATTTGACGGTGTTATGGTTGTGGTGGATCGTCTCACGAAGTATGCTCACTTCATACCAATTACCCACTCTTACACCGCAAAGTCAATTGCTAG